CATTGTCATTCCCGGCATGCGTCCCAAAAATACTTCCGGCAGACGTCGAAGACTAATACTTCGATAATCACGCTTGCATTACGTGATCAAGATTGATAACGACGTGGATTACAATGCTGTAATTTCCCACTGATCCCTAATCAAGTAATTGGTATTGATTTTCTTCACGTCACTTAATCTATCTTGCCGTGGTCAATCCTTGATCGTGTTCCTTGATTGATTGAAGTCTATGATCAGGTGGAGTTTCGGTTGAGGAGTCTGTGGTTGTACTTGCTATTTACACAAAAACAATTAGACGAAACAAAAATTACATTCAATGTCTGTAACTGACGGAATTTATTGGAGTTACAGGCATGTATCTAAGAACCATTGATACATTCATGGCAACGGGATTTATCTTTCAACTGAATGAAATCCGATCTCATTGCTGCATACTAATATAATAATAATAATAATAATAATAATAATAATAATAATAATAATAATAATAATAATAATAATAATAATAATAATAATAATAATAATAATTCCTATTTGTATTTCATGTTCCAGGTTGCCATGGCTCCGAAAGTGCCGAAAGATTGTTCAACAACCTAATGGATGGATATAATAATTTAATTCGACCAGTCACCAATGTCACTGACATCTTAAATGTCATATTTGGGCTTTCTATTTCACAGTTGATCGATATCGTGAGTAGTGCTTTCATTGCTATGATGTTTATCTTATTTCTGCGTCACTAGAAAAGTCGTTGCCATAGCACCTCGTCATAATTGCGACCATTACATTTCTCACGAAGACACCACATGTATTATTGCGTCCTTCACATATTTATTTCAGTTAAATTATTATATTGATGTGTGAATTGTTTACGATCTCTAGAAATAATTCGATGAGGGAAAAAAATGAAACGAATTGGGTTGGAAATACTGTAACTGATATGTAAAACATGGCCGAAAATATATAGCGCTACGCATGCGCAATTGGTGATGTCTGAAAAATATCCAATGTTGTAATCTTTCCTGATTAAATTCCCTGGCCTACGCCACAACAGTTATTTTGTCCATGCAAATGTCACTGTCACAATGCCTGACAACTCTCCCTAATATTCATTTTATATTACTAGTATTCTTCATGTCACCTCCATTATCTCTTCATTGTCCTCAAATTGAATATCAATAGAGAATTGTATTTTAATGACGTAATACAGTTAATCGTCATAATAATTATTTCAAATAAAAATGTTTCACTGCCAAAGACCATTGTTTAAATATATGGGAGATGTATGTGGGTTTATTTCGGAAAGGTTATCTAGTACATAAAGTGTTAAAATCTCAAAGGTTCAAAGTCATTTGTAGTCAGTAAGGTCGTTAAAAACAAAAGCGTCCATTTGTATATGCCAATTGCACATGAGTTATAATTAGCGCAGCTCGATGTTGCTGTGTAGCCGTCGTAACAATGTCAGCTTAGTGTATTCTGTATTTTCAGTGGTCAAAGCTTTCTATGAGCAACCTCTCTCCCGAACCCACCGTTACACCCAACAGCTGTTTGGTGTATATTTTTAAATAAATACTCCAGGGCCGACGCGGTCCTGGTACTGCTAATTAATATCGGTGATATGCAATGGAAAAGTGACAGGTAAAATTGGTCTTCGTAAATGGAGATCGCGACCTATGTGTGTGCTTTAGTTTTGAAAAAAATATATAACTAATCCAGTAACGTAACTCGATACTGCGAGAATATGCGAGACGCAATGTACTGATGAAACGAACACAGCGACGCCGTCCGCCGATATGCATGGCTACACACTTAACTTTGCACAGCGTTGCCTTCTGCCGATCTGTGTGATTACATACGTGGTTGCAGCGCCATCAATGTATACTAGTCAATGTATTTCACCTTTTTTTATATAGGCCAATGATAAACATAATTTGTTGTACCAAGATGTCCGGAAACACAACATTTGAACAGATAGGGAAGAGGGTGGGAGCAAAGATGGTGGGGTCTAACGATACAAGTTTTAGTTAAGATATGACGTCATAATTGCCACGTTTGTGCTTATCTAGGGATAATCATAGCATTTCGAACCAATGACCGACAAGAACCAGTCTCAAGTGGGATTGTAAACAAAATACTTATAGCGGATTTCCTCTGGAATGCGTATTTTATCCAGATATTTAAGTAATTCCTCACCTGTTCCACTCAATCAACATTCAATATGTTATCATTACACATGATATAACAATAATACTGTAGTGGGGTAATATTGAAACTATCTCATACAAACACTACAATTAATCATCTGTCCACATTCGTCGTACATCTTTTTTTTATAGTATATATCGTGTGTGCCAAATTAATATTGTTGTGGTAATCAGTATTGTGCCATTTTCTACACCATAACAATTGTGTAACTTTTCCCTGTCATCAGAATTATGTCCGTTGTCGCTAGAATGTTGTGACCTCCTCCCAATACATCGATATTATGTCACACTCTGTCATCAGAATTCTGTCACACTCCCTTTTCATCAGAATTATGTCACATTCCCCGTCGTCAGAATTATGTCACCCTCCCTTTTCATCAGAATTATGTCACCCTCCCCGTCGTCAGAATTATGTCACCCTCCCTTTTCCTCAGAATTCTGTCACACTTTGTCATCAGAATTATGTCACACTCTGTCATCAGAATTATGTCACACTCTGTCATCAGAATTATGTTACTCTCCCTTTTCATCAGAATTCTGTCATACTCTGTCATCAGAATTATGTCACACCCTGTCCACAGTATTCTGTTATCCTCCCTTTTAATAAGAATTCTATCACCCTCCATTTTCTTCAGAATTATGTCACCCTCCCTTTTCCTCAGAATTCTGTCACACTTTGTCATCAGAATTATGTCACACTCTGTCATCAGAATTCTGTCACACTCTGTCATCAGAATTCTGTCACCCTCCCTTTTCATCAGATTTCTGTCACCCTCCCTTTTCAACTGAATTCTGTCACACTCTGTCATCAGAATTCTTACATCCTCCCTTTTCATCAGAATTATGTCACCCTCCCCTTTTCATCAGAATTCCATCACCCTCCCTTTTCATCAGAATTATTTCACCCTCCCTTTTCATCAGAATTCCATCACCCTCCCTTTTCATCAGAATTCTGTCACACTCCCTTTTCATCAGAATTCTGTCACACTCCCTTTTCTTCAGAATTCTGACACCCTACCTTTTCATCAGAATTATGTCACCCTCCCTTTTCCTCAGAATTCTGTCACAATTTGTCATCAGAATTATGTCACACTCTGTCATCAGAATTATGTCACACTCTGTCATCAGAATTATGTCACTCTCCCTTTTCATCAGAATTCTGTCATACTCTGTCATCAGAATTATTTCACCCTCCTTTTTCATCAGAATTATTTCACCCTCCGTTTTCATCAGAATTCTTTCACACTTTCTTTTCTTCAGAATTATGTCACACTACCTTTCTTCAGAATTATGTCACCCTCCCTTTTCATCAGAATTCCATCACCCTCCCTTTTCATCAGAATTATGTCACCCTCCCCTTTTCATCAGAATTCCATCACCCTCCCTTTTCATCAGAATTATTTCACCCTCCCTTTTCATCAGAATTCCATCACCCTCCCTTTTCATCAGAATTATGTCACACTCCCTTTTCATCAGAATTCTGTCACACTCCCTTTTCTTCAGAATTCTGACACCCTACCTTTTCATCAGAATTATGTCACCCTCCCTTTTCATCAGAATTCCATCACCCTCCCTTTTCATCAGAATTATTTCACCCTCCCTTTTCATCAGAATTCTTTCACACTTTCTTTTCTTCGGAATTATGTCACACTACCTTTCTTCAGAATTATGTCACACTCCCTTTTCTTCAGAATTATGTCACACTCCTTTTTTTCAGAATTCTGACACCCTCCCTTCTCATCAGAATTATGTCACCCTCCCCTTTCAACAGAATTATGTCACCCTCCCTTTTCATCAGAATTCCATCACCCTCCCTTTTCATCAGAATTCTTTCACACTTTCTTTTCTTCGGAATTATGTCACACTACCTTTCTTCAGAATTATGTCACACTCCCTTTTCTTCAGAATTATGTCACCCTCCCTTTTCATCAGAATTCTGTCAAATTCCATTTTCGTCAGAATTACGTCACCCTCCCTTTTCTTCAGAATTATGTCACACTCTCTTTTCTTCAGAATTCTGACACCCTCCCTTTTCATCAGAATTATGTCACCCTCCCCTTTCATCAGAATTATGTCACCCTCCCTTTTCATAAGAATTCTATCACACTCCCTTTTATTCAGAATTATGTCACACTCCTTTTTCATCAGAATTCTGACACCCTCTCTTTTCATCAGAATTATGTCACCCTCCCTTTTCATCTAAATTCCATCACCCTCCCTTTTCATCAGAATTATATCACACTCCCTTTTCATCAGAATTCCATCACCCTCCCTTTTCATCAGAATTATTTCACCCTCCCTTTTCATCAGAATTCTTTCACACTTTCTTTTCTTTGGAATTATGTCACACTACCTTTCTTCAGAATTATGTCACACTCCCTTTTCTTCAGAATTATGTCACACTCCTTTTTTTAAGAATTCTGACACCCTCCCTTCTCATCAGAATTATGTCACCCTCCCATTTCATCAGAATTATGTCACCCTCCCTTTTCATCAGAATTCTGTCAAATTCCATTTTCGTCAGAATTACGTCACCCTCCCTTTTCTTCAGAATTATGTCACCCTCCGTTTTCATCAGAATTCTTTCACACTTTCTTTTCTTCAGAATTATGTCACACTACCTTTCTTCGGAATTATGTCACCCTCCCTTTTCATCAGAATTCCATCACCCTCCCTTTTCATCAGAATTATGTCACCCTCCCCTTTTCATCAGAATTATGTCACCCTCCCTTTTCATCAGAATTCCATCACCCTCCCTTTTCATCAGAATTATTTCACCCTCCCTTTTCATCAGAATTCTTTCACACTTTCTTTTCTTTGGAATTATGTCACACTACCTTTCTTCAGAATTATGTCACACTCCCTTTTCTTCAGAATTATGTCACACTCCTTTTTTTCAGAATTCTGACACCCTCCCTTCTCATCAGAATTATGTCACCCTCCCATTTCATCAGAATTATGTCACCCTCCCTTTTCATCAGAATTCTGTCAAATTCCATTTTCGTCAGAATTACGTCACC